TTTTTTTTTTTTTTTTTTTGTATCTGGATTTGAACTTGGAACCTTGCGCTTTTGAGGCAGGCGACAGAACCACTGAGCTAAATCCCAGCTGGGTAATTTTCTGTTCTTTGAAGAATCATTTGACCTTTCTGTTCCTTACTACAAAACCTGAGGGCAGTGACTTGAGGCTGTATCCACAAAGCAGAAATAAAGGAAGCCATTAGCGCCGGGCGTGGTGGCGAAGGCCTGTAATCACAGCACTCAGGAGGCTGAGGCAGGAGGACTGCTGTGAGTTCGAGACCAGCCTGGGCTACACAATGAGTTCCAGGTCAGCCTCAACTACATAGTGAAACCCTGTCTCAAAAAACAAAAAAAAAAGGAACCCATTACCTCAGGAAGCCCCAATGATGAACTTGGAAGGAAGGTAGTGGCAGCCTCTACTACAGACAAGCAAACAGGATCCCACAGAAAGCCCCAGTCTGTACCCACACAGGGCCTGGCCACAGTCCACTCACCCAGAATTCAGGAAGTAAAACACACAGATCTTCTCCGGCAGGGTCTCTGACAGCCTCTGCGCGTAATCCACGATGTTATCATGCAGGTATCGGCTGTTGGTGTTGAGCACCTGGTTCTGTTCATGTGCGGCTTGGACCACCAGAGGGTGGCAGTGCCCAACTGCAAGAGGGTCCCCTGTCATGTGGCCGACTGCCCAGCCATCCTCCCCAGTTCCCATCTATGGGCCTAGCCAGGAGAGATGCAGTTAATGGAAGGAGAGATGGAAAGACGGTTCCGAAGGAAAGGAAGATCTAGAAAGGATTTCCTGAGATTCCAGAAGAAAGAAAAGATTTTTTTGGCAGGAACCCTATGTAGAAAGAGCATGTCTTCAGGGAGGTTCTGAAATGGAAAAAAACACAAGACAGAGCCGAGACTGAAAGTCTCAAAGCTGGGCTGAGACTGACGGTCTGAGGCTAACCCCATGAAGGTCACCATGCCCGGAAGATGAACTACTGAGACACAGCTGCCCACCTCCCTGTGTCTTAAGAGATAAACTGTAAAAACATTACCTCCGCCCTACCCTGTGCTAAATTCTGCTTCTGGAAAATTCTGCTTGCTCCCCAACCCTTTCTAAAGAACCAATAATTATGAATAGAAACGGGCCCAGACCCTGGAAGGGGACTTGTGCTGAAGCGGCTGGCGAGCGAATAAACCTGCTTTTCCTTCAGTTCTGAGTGCACCCTCTTCCCTGGTCTGCCTGCACGCAGAGCCATTTGTTTCTCCAGCCTGCCTGAGGCAGATGTCAGGGCGACTGTCAGAGGGGCAGGATGGCAAGGCCAGGGATCATGAGCAAACTCGTTCGGGGAGCTGTACACACGCCAGGCACATTTAAGCCACTCACGCTAATTGTATAGGACACCCCGGGGTGGGTGCCTCGTGTCACATCTACTGTGCAAAGTGAGGCGCAGAGAAATAAGGTGCTCACAATCACCAAGTAAGTGAAAGATACGGATCTGAACTAAAGTGGGGCGTTCAAGTTCTACTTTACTCCCTGCCAGCCTGCGTGCTAATCATGGGCCGCCCTTCTTTCTCTCAGCCCGGGAACCTCAGCTGGGTGGGGACCGAAGTCCTACTCTGGACCCCGGCGGCAGCAGCGCCGAAATGGTCAGTGGGGCCGAGGCGGCCCTTGGGTGGCCCTCGGACCCCCGGGCTCCACCGAGAACTGGACGCACATCCAGTACTCGGACCCCCGACTCCATCCGATGCAGCCCGGAGACCTGAGCTGCTTCAGAAAGACAGGGCCTCCTCTGTGTGGAGCTGGCCGGAGGCTCAGCTCAGCCTCTCTGCAACCCCTGGTCTCCCCGGGACAGGCCACGGCCTCAGCCTCCTCTTCCGCCCCGCCGGCGGGAGGCGGGACACTGACCATGAGCCACGTTGTTGACGCAATCGATGTATTCTGCCCCTTGCTCATCGTACAGGTACTGGCCTTGGCCGCGCACAATCTTAACAGGAGCCTCGGGGAAAAAGAGTCTGCAGGAAGAGCTGTGGGGACAAGCAAGGGGTGGGCAGCACATCCGAAGACGCGCGCTCGCTTCGCCCTCCGATCCCGCGGTCGCTCTCCTCTGCACGCGC